ATTAAAGACACGAAAAGACACCGGCTTTTTCCACGACCTCGACACCTCAGTGTGGAGATCGGGAAAAAACGGGAGTCCCCGGCGTGGAGGCTGCACTCTGGATGGCAAAAATCTCTCGTCTAACAAACTCTTTTTATTTCTGCAAACATCCTGTTCTCCTGTTTCTGGCCACTCAATATTTAGTCTAGAAACAGCACGAGTTAAAACCTCCATGAGCTCCTCGTCTACAAGTGACTTGTGATATGGTTTCGTGTGTTCATGTTCACTTGCATCAATACTGACGACCTCCACGGCCGCATTAACCATAGGGCTAGGCGGGGCTTAAGCCCCGGGGCCCAAGCAAGGAGGGGGCCCGTGATTGGCTGTAGAGCAGATACTGCAAGCCATCTGATTACCAAAGCCTTACCACGCAACGTCCCCCACAAATTATCCCTGTTATTTAGTGGCACTTTGCCTTATATTCCATGCATTATCATGGAATCATTATCATTAATAGAGACGTTCGCAAAGACCCGCCTTTTTTAGGTACTATGTGACGGGCCACGTCACGAGCCAGGCGGCTCTCACGAGTCACGCACATCATGTTCTCATGCACTCACGCAGTGAAAAATACTTCGCGGGGCAAAGACTAACGTTACACCGAGTGATTACGAGAGAGAGTTCAGAGGAGCTTACTGTTGATATGAAACAAAGTCTCAACTTTCAAATATTGTCATTTAAGTAATTTAAACATTACAGTTTTCAAGTTCATGTCCACCGACTGACAGCTTTGTTGTCGGACAAAGTTGCGTATTCGGCGTTATGATTGGCCAGGCCACCTGTCAATCAAACCCCCGTAGGCATGCAGGGCCAACGGCTCTGAGCAGGGCATGGTAAATTGAAACGTCAGGTTTTAATTTGATATGACAAATACATTTATTCTATATTTAACTTGTGAACGACCGACCTGCTACTGCACGTAGGCCTATAGACGAATCCGACGAGCGTTCTGTGTAGGCTGCCATCTTGTGGCGACGCCATTACTGAGCTGTTACACAGGCATAGACATATGCACCGGTATGTAAACAAACCTCGGTGATAAAGCGAACTCACCCTCGATGACAGCTACAGCCAGGCAGAATGACTTGTTGGGTTGATCTGTGACTGCAGTGGCCTCCAGTCACAAATGAAGGTACAAACGATCTTACAGATTAACGTTATTTATGTAAATAGCTTGGCAAGCTAGCTAGGCTAACGTTTGCTAACGAGGAAACTATAAAAAGATCTGTCCATTTGGCAACAATAAATAAAAAAATAAATGAAATCAAATAAACAAATTCATGTTTTTCATTTGTGTCCATTATTTATCTCATTTTCACATTGCAACAGGCAAGGGTAAGGTAACGTTACAGCTAGAAAGTATACATAATAGCGACCAATTAGTGTTTTTAAACCATGGAAAGCGGTCAATATAACAGCAGGAAAACAATTATGTCACATAACGTTACATTTAGCTCAGGAAAGCCATTTAATGACCATAGCATGTTAATTGAATAGAAAAAATAGCAAGAGAGGAGATTTTGCTGATCAATATATCACATATTTATTATATATTTTTTACTTATGTCATTAAATAATTGTTATTATACGCGAATGTCCGCGTCTTGTACTCGCCCAGGAAATCTGTAAACCGTACAGCACCAGACAGGGGCAGTCGACCTGGGGTATTCACAGTGTTTTCTCTTCAAAATTGAAATTTTACTGCCACCATTGAAACAATTTATAACGGAAACTGTTTACCCACTCGACATTATTCGATGTTTTATTAACAAGTTTCGGGAGGATCACGTTCTAATGATCAAACAATCAAGTCAGCCAGCTGTCAGCAATCAGTAATCAACTGGTTCACTCAATCAGCACAAGTAAAGCCTATAAAAACACACAGTTGACTCACCCTTATTCCTCGACTGTTCTCAGCATCCCTCCACCACCCCATCTCCTCACACTTGCCTAATTATTTTCCTAAACAGAGATACGGGGGGAGTACTCTGGGTTCGGGCCCAATTTCCGAGCTCGGAGCCCTCCCCCCGGACAGCACGCCAAATACGCATAACCATTTTTATTCTCTGATCATTAGTGAGTGTGAACTCGTGAAACAAGGGATAACGTTGTAACGTTAGTGACAGTCGTAAATCGCGGGCTGTTTATTCCAGTGGACGCAAGTTGCAACTAAAACTATAGGAGGCAATGGCGCAACGCTACCCAGCAACAGCTCAGTAATGGCGCCCCGCTTACTTCCGGTAGTTTCGCCGGATGCGTCTATTGATGATTGCTGCCTGCGCCTTATTAGAATAGGCTACACATCAACCAATAAATCGCCTTTACTTCTCTTCATTCTAATCTAGTCTATTCTTAAAACACAGCGTCATCATCGACCCCACAAACTTTCGGTAAGTTTGAATATTAACTTGATGGATGTATAATTTTGCTTTTAGTGTTTGATTAAACTCTATATTCGCCTAAAGGACTGGCGATAATATGGTAGAAATATTTAAATTTTGCTGCGCCATCATGATGTAAGTTTATCATTTAAACTCGTTTTTAAACGTTGTGGTTTGGATACAAATTATTTCAAACTGCTCAGCCACAGTGAGCAGCGGGAGAATTAATTTTGTAAATGCTGGTTTTGAGACCAAGGTGAACCATAGACTGTGGTGAACTTGAGACGGTTTTGCACAGCGCACTCGAATCCGACTCTGAGGTCTCAAAGTGACAGACGCTGCTAATAAAGCTGCTGTCGCCATGTGTGTCAATAATGTTAATCAAACATCAGAAAGAAAGTAATTTACTGCATTTGACTTAATTACTTTTGCAAAATTAACAAGAATGAATGTTGAATTTATAGTGAAAACCATGTATTGTATATTTGATTACTTTATATAATATAATATTATTCAGTGCTTTAAGTTTTTCATAGGTCGATTTATTGTGCCTTTGTTCTATTTTAATTTGTGACTCGTCATCAGTAAGCTTGAGATTATTTTCTTAAGCTACTTTGGTGATATTGAAATTGGTCACAATAATTATGAAATTTTAGGTGCAATACATTTTGATATGATAAAAAAATTGTGTTAAAAGTAACATAACTTAACTGTGACGTATATCATAGATGGATAAAATGACTCGTATAATAATATAACATTTAGCTCATGTAGTTGGTGACCTAAAGTGGTGGGGGGCCCTGCAGTAACTCATAGCCCCGGGGCCCAGTGAGCTCTTAATACGGCCCTGACGACCTCCAATTCCTCTGAACTGGATAGTCGCAGACTTTGTGCCTCATCCCGGGGAGAAGAAACCGCAGCGCGTGCTTCTCCCTGAGATAAGGCACTAGATCCAACAGGTAAGGGCTGAGAAAGGGCAGAGCCCGTCTCAAACCCCGCTGTTAGATCCATTTGCGATCCCCAAGACGAGCGCCGACGCTGTGCCTCGGCAGCAGCGGGACCCGCGCCTCGGGGGGCGCGCACCGAACCGTCCTCCTCAAAGAACGCCCGGCGAGAGCGGAGCGTCTTCACAGACAGCTTATCGCAATGCTCACAGTCAGCTCCCTCGAGAACTGACTGGGCATGCTCCACTCCCAAACAAGCAACACAGAGCTGATGTGTGTCCCCACCCGTGATGAAACGAGGGCAGGGAACAACACAACGCTTGTATTCTTGTTTAGCCATTATACGATATATTGTGAACAGACAGACAACAATAAATCAGACACGGACAATTTCATACAGAGAGCGCTTGTGAAGACACAGAAGCTGATGCGGTCTATTTTCTGGGGTGCTTTATAGTTTTCCTGGTCATGACGTCATCGCCCATGACGTCTTGTTCTGTCCATTGGACAGATTATACACGTGCTTCACGACGCAATCACGCAGAGCGTTCCCACCGCGTTCCAAACGCAGCTTGAGTTCCCTTGAAAGGGAACTAAATATATTAACTAACGAAAACAGTTATGAATGCATATGAAAATGGTGGCCTAAATGTTTTGGATTTTGAAACATTCAATTTCAAACCCTGGCAATACATGTTCTTCTTAGTTGTAATTATGATATTGATAAAATACCAGCAAAACCATCTGAATTTCATCGCCAGGCCTTTTTATCAAACTACTTTTCTTCACATAAGTATTTTATACAGCACAATAAAGATATAACATTTAAATGCAAATTTGTTTCTGAAACATCAAAGCATTTATTTAATTTAAATATTCCTGTAACACATATGCAAGTTTTTGGTGCAATATGGCCTGAAATCATATGTTTAGACATGATTTACATTCAACAATGGTCCTCCTCACCTACTATATAGTAAGTTCTTATAATACTAGTTTAACTCACAGAACAGATCCATATGAGTGTTATTTCTAATGAGTGATATTTACATATTGAAATCAATTGACAGACAATATTGTGTGGGAAAAGGTTTGGCTTATACCTCATATATTCAATTATAAAGTCAAAGAGGCGTCATTCAGAATTATACACAAGATTTACCAAGTGAAACATTACTTTAATTAAGTTAAATGTGTCAGATGCCCTGAAACTGTGGTTTATTCAGGCACGGCACATTCATAAAAATATTTGGGAAATTATTTGTGATTTTAATACATTTATTATTTGGGTTTTTGGAGAACTAGAGACAAGCACACTCAGGTTTATATAACACATTTAATCATTTTAATGTCAAAATATGTTCACAAATGTAAGTTTTCCTGTAAAATAAACCCTGTTTTATATAAGAAAGAAATTGAGCGTTATACCGACTCAATCCAATTTTCAATGAAGCAAAAATTCATAAAATGTATCAATATCTTTATGTAGATATACATTAGTCTCCAACTGTGTTACATTTATGATGTATTTTATTGTATTCTCTAATATTTGTAAAATACCCTTTTTAGGATTGATTGAATGATAACTCATAAAGCAAACTCTGTCACTGTCTGAAAAATGCTTTGCTTATATAAATATATATATATATATATATATATATATATATATATATGTATATATCCTCATGATATGCAGCTCATGACGTTGGTTTTGAGTGTGGCGACTGCAAATTTAATAAACAAGGATTATGCAGGTACAGATTTTATCCGTTAACACATTTATGAAATTCAAGATACATTTGTTCATCTATATTTGCTGTCTTCAATAGATACCAAGACGATTTCTGCACTTATTTAGTTACAACAACCTTTATAAGAAAACAATTTGATATGATAAGATATTATATTGCATTACATATACACGCAAATTACACAAATATCAGACTCTTCTTCAAAGCAGATTGACGTACTAGAAGGCTAGTGATCCATAATGGCTACAATTCATATTCGTATAATTAAGCACCATAAATATTTACATGGACAGACACCCAGTTGTACGTTAAACCTTGATGATTATAATAAGCAGTGTGTGAATCACTCCAGAGAATAATACTGGGAACACTTTACAATACGGGTCATTAGATGATGACATAACTAACATGAACTAACAATGAACAATACATTTGTTTCAGTATTTATTAATCCTTGTTAATGTTAAAGCTATTCATTGTTTGTTCATGTTAGTTCACAGTGCATTAACTAATGCTAACAAACACGACCTTTGATTTTTTAATCATGTAAACGATTAATTAATGTTGAAGAAGAATTGTTCATATACTAAAATTCATGTTAACCTGAATTGTAAAGTGTTCTCATAATCCTATACTGCCCTCTGCTGGACCATCACACACTCTCTCTCACCCTGCGTCTCAATGTTCCTACTAAAAATATATTTATTTACTGCTATTCGTGTTATATTTCATCTGGAATAACAACGTGGACTTTTATAAAGATCGGTTTGGCCATTAACTTTTAAATACATCATCATGAAATACCAAGATCATTGTGCTTCGATACTGTAGGAAATTAAATTCAATGTGGAGGATTTTATCTTTGACAAGATGATTGACAGGTCAGTTTACTGTGTTATAAACGCAATCGTATGACGGGATAGTTTGTCTCAAAGCTTGTCTACTCTTCTGCTACACACTCAAAAGTATGCACTATTTATTCACAAAAAGAGTACATACTATTAGGGTGTAGTATAAGTAGGCGAAGTGAGTCCGTTTTCTAAGGCGTCGACGCATCATTTAGGTTTGGCTAAATAGTTTTAGCTGACACCTGAACGCCGTGTCTGGACGTCCCGAGCTCAGCAGGGCGAGGAGGTGGACACCTGCTGGTACTCGGGACACTTGAGCAGCGCGGGGTAGCTGGCGTTCATCTGGAGCGAGGCGTCGCTGGACAGGTCTGACGGGCTCCGGCCCCGGGTCCAGGGCTCCGGGTGGAGGAACTGACCCGAGTAATCAGAGCTGTTGCTCAGCCGGGGCCGGTAGAAGCTCGGGTGGGGCTGGTAGATCTCCTCCGCCGTGTAGCGCTTCATGAACAGGTACACCGACATCACACCTGCACTCTGAACACACACACACACACACACACACACACACACACAGAGAGAAGGCAAGTCACCTTCATTTATACAGCGCTTTTACCAATATAGCTCGTTTCAAAGCAGCTTTACAGTGAGATTACAGTAATGTTTACACATCTCTCTTCCAGACAAGGAGAGTTTAAAGGAGTAGTTCACTTTTAGAAAAAACTTTTGCTGATAATTTACTCACCCCCATGTCATCCAAGATGTCCATGTCTTTCTTTCTTCAGTCGAAAAGAAATTAAGTTTTTTGATGAAAACTTTCCAGCATTTTCTCCATATAATGGACTTCAATGGGAAGGTCCAAAAGACAGTTTCAGTGCAAACTACAAACTGTTCAAAGGGCTTTAAACGATTCCAGACGATGAATAAGGGTCTTATCAAGCGAAACGATCGCTCATTTAATAAATAAATTACAAAGTTTAAGTTTTATAAGCTCAAATGCTCGCCTTGCTCTGTTCTGTGATGCGCATTCGTGATTCTCTTGTTCGTTTATCAAAATGAACGAATCATTTGGTTCATTCAATGAACGAAATGAACGAATTGACTCTGAAAAAGATTCGTTCATTTTGGTTTGTTTTTTTTATTTTTTTATTTAATTATATCAAAAAAGCCTTAAAACATAAAAACAAAATGCATCGGAATATAATCGAGGATTAAAACACAATAAAGTCCAGGACTTATTTCCATTGTGGTCCTCTTACACATATCGTCAAGACAGGACAATTACATATAGTGTGATAAAAATGACAACACAAACATTTTCATTTTCTATACAAATTATAGATGGTAACTGTCTCCTTGTTCTACTTCACTACCCTCTCTAATAACCAATACTTGGTCCGCTTTTTAAAAGAATTAATGCTTAAGATTACTTTAATAATCTAACCATGATGAACGAGTACAAACAGGAAAGTCACAGACGCGCATCACAGAACAGAACAAGGCGAACATTTGAGCTTATAAAACTTAAACTTTGTTATTTATTTATTAAACTAGCGATCGTTTTGCTTGATAAGACCCTTATTCATCGTCTGGAATCGTTTAAAGCCCTTTGAACAGTTTGCACTGAAACTCTCTTTTGGACCTTGAACCGTTTGGTTCCCATCGAAGTCCATTATATGGAGAAAATTTTCATCAAAAACCTTAATTTCTTTTCGACTGAAGAAAGAAAGACATGGACATCTTGGATGACATGGGGGTGAGTCAATTATCAGCAAAAGTTTTTTTAAAAGTGAACTACTCCTTTAATATCACTACAGTGATACACACATCACATGATACGCATGTGCTTACTGTCGCAGATTCACGTTTTTTACAGAGATGATAACGTTTTTCTAAATTTTTCAACACTTGTGACTTTGAACATGTCTCTAGGTATGCGTTCTCGAGCCCCAAACACTGCTGTTGTGCGGATGAACGGCCAGAACACAGTAAAAGTGTTCAGTCAGAGCGGTGTCGTGTTATCGGCCCCTAAGTTAATAACTAATAAACGAAAGTGAATCAATCAAAACTAACTTTATCTGGACAATAACTTTAATCTACAGCTGCTGTAAAGCCAAACAATCTCTGTTACTGTAATCTCCTGTAATCACCGTAAAGATGCTTTGAAACGAGCTATATTGGTATAAATGAAGGTGACTTGACTTAAAGTTCAATACCTACCATAACATCAGTCCGTATATCACACACAACTCTCTGGTATGGTCTAGATTAGAAGACTTGCAGAATGTGGACTGTTTTTATGGTGCCTTTCTAGTGGTTATACTATTTGACCTTTCAGGAGCATTACATCTCCTGTCAGGATGTAATGAGATGTAACGACCGAAAGACGGTCAAACTTCTAGCCTGGATGCCAGCCCGAACTCCGCCCACAACATTTTTTGGTCGGGAAGTTCGGTCTGGACTCGATCAATTATGATCAGACAAAAAATGAACGGGCCAATCAAATTGCCAGGGCGGGCTTTATACGATGATGGACAGATGATCTGCAAGGACGTAATCATCACGTTATCAAAGAGCGCTTAACTGGTTTCGCTCAGAGATGACTGCAGCTGGAGAATTGAGATGTATAGATTCCACTGTCGCGTCTGTTGTAAAATAAATCGACAGCGCATTCATTTTAATAGACATACAGAAAACTGCAATCAAGGCATTTGTCGATCGGAAAGATATTTTTGACTTGATTCGGCAAAAGTGTAACTTATCAGCTGGCTCTGACGGTCGCTAAGAAGATGGGACGTAATGAAAAGCCTGTGGTCGTTGTGGTTTCTCCTTTGGTCGCACTCATGGAGAAGTAAGTAAAAGAAGCAACACTTGTTATTTAACTTCTAAAATAAGTAAGTTCTGTAGACAACTATGCAAAGTAGTTGACTTACTGCCTTGCTCTGATTGGTTGTGGGTCTACCCACAAGGGGTTCGGTTAAGACACGCCTCATAATCAAAGCTCTACGGAGCAGTTTCAGACTCATATTCTGACTAGAATACGACTATGACGAAGTCAGGCTATCAAACTTCTGATGTTTATGAAAGATTCAGAAGGAGATTTCTGAAGGATCATGTGACACTGAAGACTCGATTTAGTAATGATGCAGTCATTACTGGAAAAAAAGTAATTTAACAAAAGTCAAGGGTCAAGAGCCCAACTAAAGTGATTATGATAACACACTGATCATCATAATGGTGACATTATCAACCAACACCAACATCCAAACCTCTGTTAATTCTCAATAAGAGCGTCTGACAGACATGAAGTCAGTCTGGTTGGTAATAAGTGAAGCTGGTAATGCTGTTTGTGGAGTTGTTTAATCAGATCTTCAGATTGTATGTCTTTTATCTTCAGTTCGTCGAAGGCTGTGTCTGAAGAAAGTTGTAGTTTGTGTTCTTATTTCTCTTTCTTTCAGTGCTTGTTCACAGCCGGTGTTTGAACGATTTAATGAATGTTTCAGGAATATTTGGAGAACCTTTGGTAACGCTTCCTTTTACAGTACAGTACTTACCTAGAAAGTACTGGCTAATATAAGGTAAGTACACTGTAAAAAATATTTTCAAGATTTGTTATCACAACATAATTTCTTTTGTCAAATCAACTTTATAATAATTTATTTAGTTGAGATAACTTATTATTTTGAGTTTCTGTTGGTTAAATTAATCTCCTTCATTGTATTAACTCACTTTTTCCAGTTCAATGAACTTAAAATTTTAAGGCAACCCAGGTTACTTACTTTTTTAAGTTAAAACAACAATATTTTTTACAGTGTAGTAATCACAACATTTTTTTCTTTTGTCAAATCAACTTAAATAATTTATTTAGTTCAGATAACATATATTTTTGAGTTTCTGTTGGTTAAATTAATCTCCTTCATTGTATTAACTCACTTTTTCCAGTTCAATGAACTTAAAATTTTAAGGCAACCCAGGTTACTTACCTTTTTAAGTTAAACCATCAATATTTTTTTACAGTGTAGTAATCACAACATTTTTTCTTTTGTCAAATCAACTTAAATCATTTATTTAATTCAGATAACATATATTTTTGAGTTTCTGTTGGTTAAATTAATCTCCTTCATTGTATTAACTCACTTTTTCCAGTTCAATGAACTTAAAATTTTAAGGCAACCCAGGTTACTTACTTTTTTAAGTTAAACCAACAATATTTTTTTACAGTGTAGTAATCACAACATTTTTTTCTTTTGTCAAATCAACTTAAATAATTTATTTAGTTCAGATAACATATATTTTTGAGTTTCTGTTGGTTAAATTAATCTCCTTCATTGTATTAACTCACTTTTTCCAGTTCAATGAACTTAAAATTTTAAGGCAACCCAGGTTACTTACTTTTTTAAGTTAAACCATCAATATTTTTTTACAGTGTAGTAATCACAACATTTTTTCTTTTGTCAAATCAACTTAAATCATTTATTTAGTTCAGATAACATATATTTTTGAGTTTCTGATGATTAAATCATTCTCCTTCATTGTATGAACTCACTTTTTCCAGTTCAATCAACTTAAAATTTTAAAGCAACCAGGTTACTTACTTTTTTAAGTTAAACCATCAATATTTTTTTACAGTGTAGTAATCACAACATTTTTTCTTTTGTCAAATCAACTTAAATCATTTATTTAATTCAGATAACATATATTTTTGAGTTTCTGATGATTAAATCATTCTCCTTCATTGTATGAACTCACTTTTTCCAGTTCAATCAACTTAAAATTTTAAAGCAACCAGGTTACTTACTTTTTTAAGTTAAACCATCAATATTTTTTTACACTGTACATGGAACAGGGGTAGGTTCAGGGTTAGTACTAGTTATTACCCAGTAATTGTAGTTACTAAAATAAGTACATAGTATTTACATGGGTAACTGGATTGTAAAAGGAAGCGTTACCGAACGTTCTTATAACAAAACTCTGTTAGCTGAGATTACATGTTTAAAGTAAGCCTGAGCTAACACAGAGGCTGGTTTACCTGCAGAGAAGTGTGACTAACAGCCTGATATTGGCAGTGTCCTCACCTCAGTGAGCAGGAACGAGATGGCAGCGAACGCAAACGACCAGCCGTACTTGTAGCTGAAATACGCCTCACTGCTCTTGGTCCTGCTGAACATCTCGTCATTAATGCTGGAGATGTAGAGAACCAGACCCACCACCAGAGACAGCCCTGTGAGACAGACAGATATCAGCCTGACATTTAACGTTCAACAATTCCTACATTGACAGCATTATATGAGAACTGAACTGAGCCGGACGATGACATCACAGGTTTCTCCAGAGCAGATATATATATATAAACAAACTAAATTAATAACTGTTTTTACAACTGAAATGAACCATCACTGAAGCTGGACTGTGCCGCTATTTTCTTCTAAACCAAAATTATGTTGCATTATTTTCCTGTTATATCTCCGTAAAGCTGCTTTTGAAACGCTCTGTAGTGTAAAAGCGCTGGAAAAAGACTTGACTTGAGGAGGAAGAGGAAGAAGTGCACCTGACAGGATGAAGAAGATCCCAGAGACAAACGCCAGTATGGTGCGGTGGGGACGGATGTGCCCGATATTGTTGAGCACAAAACCGATGAACATGAAGAACAAACTGACCAGCGGGAACGGCGTGGCCGAACGAATCATCTCTGAAGAGAAACGAGATCATTGGATGGTGAGTTAAAAGCCTGTTCACACAACCATAACTTTTAAGAATCGTCATCGCTCAACCAAAAAATGCGTAATATAATTATTGTTTTAGTTATGGTTATTCAGTCAAAAACACCCTTAATATACAATAAAACAAAGTATACAGTGCTTTAAGTTTTTCAGGTTGCCTTACAAGCAAGAAACAATGCAGAAACTGAATAATCACATGTAAAACTAAAACAGTCTTCACATTGATTCATATTAAATCTACAAAAGTTATTCAGTCAAGAGTGATTTTCTCTTTTGACAGACAGTAGCAGGTTTACTGTATTAGGCTGCTGTCACTTTAAGACCTAATGCATGATCCTATTGACACACACCGTTTCTTTCCCAACTGTTTATGTTCATTTGAGACACAAGCGACTGTGTTTACAAGAATACTCAAGCATTTTGACAAAAGCGTGTGTGTATTCGTGTGTTGTCCGCTGAAAGAGAGCTGACTTCATGATCGTACGCTGTCTGTTTGCTTAATATTGCACTTAATAACTATTTTAACATCAAGCACATCACATCTTATCATCTTATTAAAATCATTCAGATATTGCAAGAGCTTGCAATATACATTTGCAATATTTAGATATTTTGATAACTCGTGCAGCCCTATAGTGCTAATGTAGTAGTCCTTTTAGCTGTAGTGCTAACACTTTACATTAAGATTCATTAGTAAACATTAGTTGACTACCTACATTATTAAATCAAAGGTTGTGTTTGTTAGCATTAGTTAATGCACTGTGAACTAACATGAACATACAATGAACAGCTGGTTTTATTTCATTCAAATGCGTTTCGCACAATAGTTAGCTAGCATGCTAACTAGCAGCGTGAAGCGTGATGTCAGCTGAGTCGTGAGAGGAGCAGAGCTATTCCTGCTAATGTGGAGCGGCTCTCGTGTGTGACAGCCGTGATGCTCACCATCAGCGGGGTAATTACCTCCACACCGACATACACTCTCACACACCTGTCAAAACTGACAGCTCATAACCAGCACCGTACATCATGGACTGTATAGACCCCTTTTGCGCCGACGTCACAGTTACGTCACGGCGCTAGCTGGAGGCAAAGCAAAGTGAAAACTGGAGGCAGCCATTACAAACCAGCACAGATTCGGCTTCATAATAAAGAGCTTAAATAATTGTTACTATTATTAAATGTCATCTTGTTGTGTTGTTTAATGCAAGAATTGATGAAAAATGAATATGATGTATCTGGAACTTTCATTTCTAGAAAATATTCACATCATTAAAATCACACTGTAATGTCACTCTTTACATTGTCGTGGTCTCGGCAGAACTGCGGATCGTACACACAAGTCTTGTACAGGACCATATAGGCATCTAAAGATTTATATGCCCTCAGTCTCTCTTTACGATCGGTTTCTCTATAAGGTAGGTGTAAGTTAGAAGTCAGGCCACTCAACCGAGGTAACGTAACGTTAATCCTGTCAGTTCGTCCATGCATAGAGTGAGCGTGTAGACGGCTACGGGTCGGCCAATCTGGTTCTGTCCGTTAAAAATAACTTTTGGAAATAACAATCGCGGTCCTGGACACTGAGTGGCCTTACACATTAAGATAATATCGGATTTTCTCCAGTCATTGTTAAGCTAAAAATAAGCTAAAAATACTTGCTAACTAGCGTTAGTGAAGCGGCCAGAGGGATCTTTCTGCCTACACCTAAGCTCCGCCCACAACAAAAAAGTCACCATGTTTACCAACTGTAAAAGGGTCTATATGCCATTGGATTGGATTTGGATTCAGCTGGATTTCTTGGTTAACATGTTGAAACAAATACTCCTTTGTCCTTTTTTGTAACTGTCTGATTGAAAAGCTTCAATAAAAAGAGTTAGTAGATCTACGGACAGATCATGTGTAGCCTAAACATTGGAGGTAAATCTGACTGAGCTTAAGCAAAATGATGTCCAAAAGACGTCTTTTCAAAGTTTTTGTCACAAAAGTCGGACGCTGAAAAGACGTTCACTGAGGAGCCAGAATGAAAGTTTTATGACGTCTTTTTTGGACGTGTTCTGCACGTCTGATATAGAAGTTCATCGAACCTTCGTACAAGTTTAAAAAGTAGTTCAAATGTGGACATTTTTTCAACATTTATGGTCTCAACTTACAGTATACTGTTTCTGGACCAAATAAACACTCACAGGATGCATTAAATTAAAACTCATGTTTATTTCAATGTAATTTCCTTACATTGTTCAGGTGAGGCTAAGAAGTTATTTGTTTTAATTTGTGTTTGCTTTAGTTGGGCTCTTGGTCCCAGTACTTGTTACTTTAGCTTTTCTTTGGCGGTTGTAACTGTGTATTTGTATAACACCATTGTTGTGGCAGAATAAGCCAAGAAAAAGTAAAATCGTCTGTAATTGGTGACGTGATGTCATTAATGATGACATAATCAACACAAAGTGGGCAATTAGCGTTGTGTTTAGACTTTTGTCTTTATGTCTGCCATTTATAACCATCAATGTTGTGGAACTGGAATTGTTTGGGCCGTTAGCATCAAAATGATCACTTATTTGAAGGTGAATAAAAAGCATGTATACACAATATTTAAAAAAATACATATCACATAGTCAAACACAGACAAAGATTTTGGACATGATTCTCAACAATGGTGACAACTAAAACAAAAAAAAGCTTGGGAATCAAGGATGTTTTGTACTATGAAAGCTACACCAGCATGAAGCTTTTTTATTGTCACCATTGTTGTGAATCATATGCGAAATCTTTATGTCTGTGTGTGACTTTATGGAACATTTTCTCAAAACATTATGTAAACATGCTTTTATTCACCTTCAAATAAGTGAAAATTTTAACGCTACTCGCCCAAATAATGCAATTCCACAAAATTGATGGATAAATGCCAGAAATGAAAACAAAAGTCTAAACACAACATTAAATGCTTGCTTTTAGAAGCTGATGACAGCCGATCATACTTTTTCTTTGGCTTTCTCTTCCATATAACCATTGTATTTTACAAACACACAATTACAACAGTCAAAAAATAGCTAAAGTAAGAAGAACTGGGACCAAGAGCCCAACTAAAGCAAACACTGATCACTACAATGGTGACTTAAAATTAAACAAATATCAACATCTAAACTTCATCTTAGGAAATTACATTGAAATAAACTTGAGTTTTAATTTAATGCATCCTGAGAATGTTTATTTGGTCCAGAAACAGTACAAATTGTCTAAATGAGACCATAAATGATGTTGAAAATATGTCCACAATGGCCACATTTAAACTAGTTTTTAAACTTGTACGAAGGATCGATGAATGTTTATATAAACGTCATAAAAACTTTCATTCTGGCTCCTCAGTGAACGTCTTTTCAACGTCCGACGTTTGTGACAAATTTTGCTTAGTGGGTATAGTCAATGGTTGAGGGCTACATTTAAGCGCACTAAATGACAGTAGAAAACAAAACTTTATATTCTTTTTGAGGAAAAAATTATGTACAAAAAAAGTTGTCATCTCTTCTTCTTGAAGAATAGACTTTAAATAGATAATTAGTCGATTTGGCCAGGGGGTGTTTATAGCAGAGGGGGCGGAGCTTAAGATTCTAGAGAGTGTTTGATTGGACAGAAGATGTGAAGAGAAGCTGATGTCATAAAAATCCCTGATCCATTTTAGCGGAAGTGAGAGACTGTAAGTTTTGAATCTCCAAAATGCGAATTTCAGAACTTAAAATTTCGAATTTCAAAATTAATTGAATATAAATCCCCTATTGAACGAAATACATTTAGTGTGTGAGAATGTATATGATATGATCATCTGTGGTGGCTGTGACATCCTCCCTCTTCCTAAATAAATATAAATGTAAATATTTGTCTTTTTTCTGTATCCAGAAGAACTGTGACAACTTTCTCCAAGATGCTTGAAGAAAGTACCTGAGAAACTGTGTATCTGGGGAAAATCTGTTTAAAACGCAAAGGGTGGCCACAACAAATATTGATTTGATTTAGTTAATTGAAGTTAATTGGTAAATAAAATGTATTTATGACATTATTTTTGCGAGTATCCTCACTTTACAGCAATTTTACACAACTGCCTTAAACTTTTCACTGTACTGTAACTTCGGATTCTTCAATACACTGGATTATTACAATTAATGGCGAAATTAATGTTTGGAAATGTAAACGGATATTTCCTACTGACACACTACAGCAAAAGGTATGCATAACTGGCTTACAGTAAACCCTTTTTTGGGGTGAAAATAGTAACATGCCTAAGGCTTTTGCATAGTACTGTATTTATGTTTATTTGTAAAGATTTTAAGAAATACTTAATACTAATGCAGTTAATGTCCAATAAATATTGGTTTAAAGCACTTAATCAATGATTTTCCGTGACCTAATCTAAAGAGAGAACTATTTATGGTTAATAAACTTAAACTATAATAATAATTGTGTTAACTACAGTGACAATGAACGAAAAACACACTATTTGTCTACAACCTTTTAATATATCAACAATGTAGAGAATGCAATTTATAAACTACAAATTAACTATAAACTAATAGTTTATTAATGATTTGTGCACTGTAAAAAAACATTTTCAAGATTTGTCATCACAACATATTTTCTTTTGTCAAATCAACTTTATAATAATTTATTTAGTTGAGATAACTTATTATTTTGAGTTTCTGATGATTAAATCAATCTCCTTCATTGTATTAACTCACTTTTTCCAGTTCAATCAACTTAAAATTTTAAGCCAACCCAGGTTACTTACTTTTTTAAGTTAAACCAACAATATTTTTACAGTGTAGTAATCACAACATTTATTCTTTTGTCAAATCAACTTAAATCATTTATGTAGTTCAGATAACACATTTTGAGTTTCTGATGATTAAATCATTCTCCTTCATTGTATTAACTCACTTTTTCCAGTTCATTGAACTTAAAATTTGAAGGCAACCAGGTTACTTACTTTTTCAATATTTTTAAACCAATAATTTTTTACAGTGTGAGTACTTTATTACTCTATACTTTGAAAAGTTGTTTGCAAATGGAAGTGTTGCCAAATTTTAATAGTCATTCAGAAACAAAAATATTCAGGGTAAAACTTAACAGTTATAAAATTGAGTTCACTTAATTTAAATATTACCCAAAGTTATGTGGACACAATGACTGAAACAGAACTCAAACTGAATGAGATCCCAGCATGATAATTGGATAATAATTGTATAATTAAGTGAAGATTGAGCATTTGTGATGAACACCTACTGTTAACAAGCAGAATCACTGAAGAAAAGAGAAACACAAGAACTACAACTGACTTCAAACCACTGAAGATAGTTCTGGTCAAGTCTGTGACCAAACCCAGTTCAGAAGGACTGCAGTAGACATTAGCAACGCTCGTTTTTGCTTGTCATGAAGGTGTGTGTGTGACTTACTCAGAACGTTGACAGTCGACTCACTGGTCAGCTGAACATTCATGGGCATCACATATTCAATGGTGAAGCAGCGGCCCCTCTCCTCACCTGACACACACAGAGAGAAAGAGAGAGTTATCCCAGAGTTATTGCTCCGGGATAAGATAAGCTTTGGGTTTTCATTTAATAGCACACACCAGGGTTCTTCAAACAGGGGCTGAATACAATACAAAAATGGCCATTAATCTTGTGGTTTCAGACTTTTTCTATTTTTTTTTAAACACTGGACAGAAAAACTAGGGAAGAGAGGTCAGACAGGACTCATAGATCAACTGACAGATCGAGGGTATATAAAGGAAACAAAATTGTATTTGTTTTTTTCTGGGATTGTTTAAAAAGGTGCAAGTTGTTGTTTTCTTTCTCTCTTATATTAGTAATGTTTTAATTTTTGCTGTATTTTGTCTATATTGCTACCACTCAGTGTGCATGCCTAATACACATATATATTTGAATGTTATATTATTTGACTGGTATTGTTTTGTAATATACTCGTATGTTTTTGGAGCATGCATTTATAATCATCATCATTTATAATCATAACTTCAGCTGGATTTCTTGGTGAATATGTTGAAACTAATGCGGAATTGACTGTACTATTTGTCTGATTGAACAGCTCCAATAAAAAGAGTTAAAGTAGTAGATCATGTGTAGCCCAAATAAATCTCTATCTTCTCACAGAGAAAAAGGGCTCTCTTTTTAATGGCCGTCATCCATTCTTTCTATTTTCTTCGGGAGACAGTAGTGTTAGTGCAGTAAGTCATGTGGTGAGACCTCCAGGATCACATTCACACGCTCCACACTTTAACACCCGAGGCAAAGCAACCCTCTCACTTTAAAGCACAGAAATAATGTGAGACTTGGGAAAGTTTGGGCTTTTTAAATCCCATGGCTGATCGTGATAACCAGTAGAGCTCAAACCACGGCTCACATCTGTTCACAGTCACGCTCAATTTCACCGGATATAAACAGCGCGGGTTTGGTCCACATCCTCACACACACACACTGCATTCCTTCACGGAGACTAATGTGTGTGTTTGTGCCGTTGTTTGCCCATTCAGAGGAGTGTGAGCTCATTGATAACAAACATACAGTCTCACGTGGATAAACCTCATCAATACAGCAGGACACATCTCATCATTAAACACATTCAGATAATGATGATCCCAGACAGCGACTGCCAAACCCGGACACACGGAGAGAGCTCAAACCTTTGTGATCAGTCCAGAATGCCTGGCCAGGCAAAACTAATGGCATAAAGCCATTAAAACCCCTTTGAATGTGTGAAGTCCATTGGAATGAACTCAAATGAACGGCTGTCAACACTGACTCTAATAGGGAAACATAGGAAATAGATTTAAAGGGGCCCTTTCACAAGATATAAAATAAGTCTCTGATGTCCCCAGAGTGTGTATGTGAAGTTTTAACTCAAAATACCCCACAGATATTTTTTTATAGTTGATAAATGTCAAGTTTTGAGATTCGCACAGTTGTTGTGTGTGTCCCTTTAAATGCAAATGAGCTGCTGCTCCAGGCACAGGGGGCGGAGCTTCAAGAGCTTGTGTGTGTGTTAATCAATTAATGTTAACTAATATAGTTATTAATTTACTCACCCCCATGTCATCCAAGATGTCCATGTCTTTCTTTCTTCAGTCGAAAAGAAATTAAGGTTTTTGATGAAAACGTTCCAGGATTTTTCTCCATATAATAGACTTCAATGGGAACCAAACGGTCCAAAAGACAGTTGCAAACTGTTTTTAAAGCAAAGGGCTTTAAACGATTACAGACGATGAATAAGGGTCTTATCAAGCGAAACGATCGCTCCTTTAATAAATAAATAACAAAGTTTAAGTTTTAGAAGCTCAAATGCTCGCCTTGCTCTGTTCTGTGTGACTCTCCTGTTTGAAATGAACGAATCTTTTCCAGAGTCAACTCTTTCATTTCGTTCATTGAATGAACCAAATGACTCGAAAAAGATTTGTTCATTTGGATGAACGAGTTCAAACAGGAGAGTCACGAACACTCATCACAGAACAGAGCAAGTTAAGCATTTGAGCTTATAAAACTTAAACTTATTTATTAAACGAGCGATCGTTTCGCTTGAATCATCGTCTGGAATCTAAACTTTGTCATTTATTTATTAAATGAGCGATCGTTTCGCTAGATAAGACCCTTATTCATCGTCTGGAATTGTTTAAAGCCCTTTGAACAGTTTGTAGTTTGCACTGAAACTGTCTTTTGGACCTTGAACCGTTTGGTTCCCATTGAAGTCCATTATATGGAGAAAAATCCTGGAATGTTTTCACCAAAAACCTTCATTTCTTTTCGACTGAAGAAAGAAAGACATGGACATCTTGGATGACATGGGGGTGAGTAAATTATCAGCAAAAGTTTTTTTTTTTTAAAAGTGAACTACTCCTTTAATAATGTTAACTTATGAACTGTAAAGTGGTCCCTTAGCACTTCTAAATATAAGTAACTGTGAAATGTGACTGACCTGCCAGGAAACACACTCTCCAGAGGCCGGAGTGTATGGACAGGTGTGTGTTAGTGCTCTGGTTGAGGGGCATGATGACGCCCTCCTCCAGATAGAGCCAGTAGTCAGTGCTGACAGCGATGCCCAGCAGACCCAGACTGCAGACCGCAAACACACTGCTGAGCAGAGCCAGAGCCTTCCTCCCGCACGCGCTCATGCCACCGGGGGGCGCTCACACACTCACACACACCACCTGAGGGAAACACACATGGACACGTCAACTCATCTCCAGGAAATCTGACATACATGGAAACGTGTTTTCGGAAGCACACAGAAAAGCACATTCAATAGACAAAAACACACTCACACTGCAATCTGTGTGTGTGTCATTTGAGCAGCTGTCGAACTGTTTATGCTAGGGGTGTAAGAATATATCGTGTCAACATATATCGCAATATAAAAATGCAACACATCATGGATAGTGAGAATATGTAGTGTGTATAATCCACCCAAAATGGCAATGTTTTAGTGTCAGTACAATATTAAACTACTACAATGGTGACTATAATGTATAATAATGCAATATTTGTGGTTTCTGATAATGCCAAATGTTACCAGTGTAAAGTGTCCTACGTTATTTTAAATATATCTAGTCAGTGAAAGAGTGTAAACATATTCATCTAAAATAATCCTGTGTTTTCAGCTTCAGAATCATGAATGTGTTTATTCTGGTGTCTCTATTGTCTCTAAGTCCAAGACTATTCATTCACACACACAATGTAACACCAAATTTAGCATTTTAATCAAGTTGAATTTTTTGTTAACCTTTTAGCATGTCTTGGATTATCGCAATAATATGGTATTGTGATATCAGTGGGTCTTAAATTGTGACATGAGGGTATCGTTGTTCTGAACCTTCAAGTTTTGACTGTTTTTAGGCTTGGCGCATGGCATTACAGGTGATATTTCAATGCTAATACCTGTCTCACACACACACACACACACACAAAGCTCTCATATAAAGTGCAGTACCTGTCACTGGATCAGAACGCCAGAGCGTCCATCGCTGCCGGGATGATGGGCCTGTTTAAAGACCGACACATTCATGAGCTCCAAAACACACAACATTTAATGACACATGTATGCAGATCCACACAATCCCATTCCCAAACTCTTCACATCCAGATAGAAATCATTAAATGAAGTGATCTAAATGTATTTATATTGCATGTGGAAGGCATAGTTAGGGGTGGGCGATATGGAAAAAATATCATATCACGATTTTTTTAGGAAAATCACGATCACGATTTTTTATCACGATTCTTTTTCAAGTTGGTTTTAATATTTTGTAAGTGGCTGTTCATTACAGCCAAACTAATGTCCCTATGTTAAAAACAAAGCCTTAGGTAACAAAAGAAAAAAGAAAGCCACACATTTAGGCCAGTGGCGAAGATAAAAATCTTTGTCATTATTTTCTTTGTTATTAAAAAACTAAGACAAGATAAACATTACACAAATTAATATTCATATTAAATAAATAGTGCTTTATTTTTTTCAGATGCAGTAGGTGTATTTAGCAGTAGCATTGAAGTAATTAAATGAACAAATATGAAATTAAAACACTACATAGACTTCACTGTATAAAATATTGATTCTTATTAAAGCTACTATTAAAGTTCTCTGTCAGTGAGTGATTTTCTCCTTGTTTTTTTTTTGTTTTGTTTTGTTTTGTTTCATTAACACTAAAGGGATAGTTCCCTCAAAAATGAAAATTGTCTTAATTTACTCTCTCAAGATGTTTTAAACCCGAATAATTTTCTTTCTTCTGTTGAAAATAAAAGTTATTTTGAATAATGTGGGTAACCGAACAGTTGCTGGTCCCCTTATAGTTTTTTTTATAGGTTCTCTCCTGGAAGATAATGGGGACCAGCAACTGTTTGGTTATCCACATTAAAAAAATTGTCTTTTGTGTTCAGCACAAGAAAGAAATTAATACAGGTTTGGAACAACATTAGAGTGAGTAAATAATGAGGATTTTTTTTTTTTTTTTTTTTTTTTTTGTGAACTATCCCTTTAAGAACAAGCGGCAGTAGGCTACTATTTATTCCTGTTGCTTTTAGACCAGCACGCGACGCGTTTAATATAGACGCATATTACACCAGATATTCTCTCAAATGTTTGCTTTCACTTTAGACATAGCCTGTTTATGTAAACATTGTGTGTATTTAACAGTATTAGCATAATAAGACTCGAAAGATAACTTAGTCCAGTATTCAGGCGCTGTTTGACAGACTTCTAGTGCCTGTGATTGTCGGGGGTATATGCGGTCAGGAAAGCGCACGTTAGAACAGCGCATCAGCGCGTGAATTAAATGTTTAACCGGCAAGGCTTATGCAAATTATGAACTTTTGTGAATTGCAGTGTCCCGTACCTATTCATTAACGTGTGATCATGTGTAGGCTACGTTGCGTTGTACAGTTGAGACGGAGGCGCCAGAACTGAACTGACAGAATGCACTGTAACACGATACTACGATATTTCTTCAAAAGCAGATCGTGGAGACATTTTAATCGTCCACGATTAAAAATCGTCATATCGCACACCCCTAGGCATAGTAGCAACCCGATCTCACGGGAATTCGTACGAATTTTACGAGGTGGCTAATTCGTAACAATTCGTACGACCTCACTCGTACGAATTAGTATGATTTTGCTAAATCGTACATATTTTACGAATTAGCCAATTCGTGTGAATTCGTACGAATGACCTACCCCTGACCCCGCCCCTAAACATAACCGTCACGTGGGTTTAGACAAATCATACAAATTCGTACGAGTGAGGTCATATGAATTAGTACGAATTAGCCACGTTTGAATCACTCGTACGAATTCGTACGAATTGGTCGTGAGATTCGTTCAACCAATCTAATGTCCTACCTGCCTATCAGCGTATACTGTATATATATATATATATATATATATATATTCATACCTATCCAGAGGAAGACAGACGTCAGTCACTGAGCACCGTTAACGAAACAGCAGCTGTCTTTTATAGTCAAATCATCTTTATTTATATAGCGTTTGGTTTGTGATTCGTAATTATGCGTTTCTATATCAACACTATCAACGCTGAAATGAATCTGCAGCAGTCATGTGGTGCAACTAGAGCTCTTTAAGTTATGTTCATTATCATTGTAATGTTAATATGTGCTTTGAGACATGAGGTAGTTAAACGCCATCTCTCGTGACGCTTTTGTTTGCTCCCTGTTGTACGCGTTCATGGCTGCGTCACTATGAGCAAAGTCCTTTTAGGCAAGTCGTGCCACTCGGCCGCCATCTTGGAAAGATCCGCTAACGGAAAATCAACTTGAAATCAACGTTGTTTCAATGTTATGAAAGCAAACCAATTTTCGATTTTCATTTAGCTTTGAAGAATGCCGCGTCTGACGTTGGTTCAACGTTAATTCGATGAGCAAAATCAACGTTGTTTCAATGTCATGAGAGACGTCGTTTCCACGTTGATTCAATGTCAGTTTGCTGTCTGGGTATTTATTGATACACTTATTATTCATAAGTGTGCAGTGTCATAACTACATCTCTGACGTTTATAACAAACCAAACTGTTTGAAAATCGGTAGAAAATTGAGCAAGTTATGGTTATTTAAATAGTACATGTACCATTAAAACACAATGTTACGAGTGAGCGAGATGCCTGTGGCAAGATGGCAGATGCAGACGTCGACCTCCATTGGCCAGCAGAGCGGCATTAAAGCAGGCATTACCTCACAAACTGAGGCTATGTTTACATGGAAACTATTCTGAAGAGAAAACGCAAAAGTGGCGTTGCGTCATCACTTTTTATTCTGCGTTTAGATGAGCGTTTTGTGTGGGAAATCCACGTGCAAATGGTGACGCAAAAGTGTGTGAAATTCAATGTAGTATATGCACTTCAGACGCTTCAACAGCACCAAGTCCACGCGCCTGCATACAAACTTCACTGTCAAGCAGACTTTTGCGTTTTTACCGTTTACACGGGAACCCGGCGGTGGAGCGTTTTTAAGATTTCCACTCTGGAGGGTGGTTTCACTTTTTTGCGTTTTTAATCCTCAAAAACGCCGTCGCAGTGTAAACGAAAGGCACATCAGATAAAATATTTTACGTTTTCACTCACGAGCATTGTCGTGTAAACGGGCCTGATTGTGAACAGACTTCAGAGGCAGCGTAACAGTTAATGATCTACAGCAAAATAGAGCGAGCTTTGGTGAGAACCAAACTAATATTTCATAATTAAAACAGTAATTTCTCACAGAAGTGACATCAGAATTGGAAAGCGTTGGTCGAAAATGTACATTTACACACAAACTGACGACCAACCACAACTTTCAGGTGCCATAATTATTTTTTAGCTCAACTGTCAATAGAAAGCAGAGGATTGTGGGATATCAAAGGCAGTGAAGCTAACATTAGATTTGGACGGATAACATTCATTGTTAAGTTTTAGGACGCCCATGTGTTTTGAAGGAGGGAGGATGGGGTCTTCAAAGCTAACCTGCTATTGCTAGCCTCTCCAAAAATTGCCTACTCTACCTTTAAATACTTATAAAGAATTACAACTGTCCTCACTTTTTTAGCTCAATAATGACACTTCTGTATAGGGCTGTTTTATAGTTTACATGAGTTCGGTTGACTTTGCTGAGCTATTTTGAATCAACATCCAACTTAATGAATTAATGGCCTCTGTAGAGCAGCAATTAAATTGGTTTCATAATTGAAGAATTTGCCCACATTAATATTTTACTCACAGGACAGCTGCTTTGAAAAAAAGCTTTTGCATAGATTTTACTTGACATGGCTCCACTTTTAAAAAAAATGGAAGTGTATCAAAACCTAGAATTGTGCATCATCCTTTGTATGACCGAGACAGATATTAGTAAAATCAGGAGTGTGTGCAGCGTCAGAAAACTTCACAATCTTTTTGTAATTTGATAGTGCTATAATTTTGACAGTATAATAATACTATTTTGACCTCAATTTTATTACAAGAACTGAATAATATGATGACTGGATTTATAGTTGCATTTTGTATTTTTGAATTACATTTATAATTTATTTATTTAGCAGACGCCTTTTTATCCAATGCGATTTAACTGGTGTGTTATCTTTAAACAATTGTTTCTCCACGTTGCAGCAAAAATAACGCCAGGACTGACATTCGTCACTGATTATGCGCTGCACAGCTGCGTTATTATTAAATGGGAGGCTATATTATAAACATGCAAACAATTAAGCAATTTTAAACACATTTAACATGCACTAAATATAAACAATATTAACACCTTTAACATGCACAAAACATAAACACTACTAATGCACTATATATAATACTAATATTCAAAGCACACATTAACACATATGTCTGACTTCAGAATATGAAATCATTAGTACATTTACGCATGCATCTGTTGACATGTATGACGACAGCAGAGCATGTTCCTTTATCCACACTGAAAGGATGATAATTACCTGTAGATGTTCTTGATGAGAGAGAGTGTGTATGTATTCCAGCTGGAGAGTGAAGCAGCTCCGCGCAGTGCAGACTGTGCACGAGACTGATGAGGACCAGACGAGCGCGCGCCGAGTGTACGTGACTGATTCGTTTAAACGATTCCGTTCGTTCGAATGAGTTGTTTCAAAGAGTTCATCGAGTCATTTAACGAAAGTCTTTTCTTCTGACGTCGCCACTCTATTGTCTGTGCCCTTTTTAAAGGAGAACTCCGGCGAACAATGAACCTTTGGTCTAATAAAACATCGGTACCTAGTCAACCGTTCTCTGAGATTTGTTTTCATGATAATCGAATGTAAAGAGTTTTATCTCTAAAAACTGTTTAGCGTATAATGCTAGTAATGGGGGCATCGAGTAAGTAAAAAGAAATCGCTAGTTTATACCACTAACAAGGCTCAAAATAGCCCCACACTAACGCAGTAACATAATGAGGCTCCAGACATACAAAACGAAGCATTGAGAACTTTGTAAGTGTACAGACCGTTTAATAAGAAGATACTTTATGAAGACAGTTCACTTCGCGTATACAGACGGGAGCCATCTTAAAAAATAGTCTCGTCAAACCACGAACGTCGTGCTGAGTGATCTGAACTCTATGAAGTTCAACGAACTTCTGAACTGTATGAACGGCGTTCGGGGATCGACTTATCGAGACTATTTTTTAAGATGGCTCCTGTCTGTATACGCGAAGTGAACTGTCTTCATAAAGTATCTCCTTATTAAACGGTCTGTACACTTACAAAGTTCTCAATGCTTCGTTTTGTACAGTATGTATGGAGCCTCATTATGTTACTGCGTTAGTGTGGGGCTATTTTGAGCCTTGTTAGTGGTATAAACTAGCGATTTCTTTTTACTTAGTCAATGCCCCCATTACTAGCATTATACGCTAAACAGTTTTTAGAGATAAAACTCTTTACATTCGATTATCATGAAAACAAAACTCAGAGAACGATTGACTAGGTACCGATGTTTTATTAGACCGAAGGTTCATTGTTCGCCGGAGTTCTCCTTTAAGGTAAAACAACGATTTTGTCAGAAAGTAACAGTATTATTCATTTGACTTAAGTTATAACTTAATTTTAGTTTGCTGATTGATTAAGTTTAGCCATGTTCCGTCCCATAGACTGTATGTCCTCCACCTCACAGGTAAGTTATGATTTACAAAAAGCAATGTGATCTTCGACTGGGGGGCTTACAGCAGGGTTCCTGGTTAGCCAAGACATCCCAGTTGCGGCCCAGATCCGGCCCACATCTGGTATGATGGCACTTGTCTCTTTTTCTGTTCTCTTCTTTCCTTCAGTGATTCTGCATGCTATAACAGGCTTCCTTTAGGGAACAAAAATATATGGGGAAATACTGCAAAATGTATTACATAATAAATTTCCATGGAAACTAGCGATAGAATATAAGATATTTATAAATTAAGACAAAAATAGCATTACATGTAATATTCACAAGGTTTTATCCTTTATTGTACACATACATGTTCCCATTTAAAAGTGAATGTTCACACACACAAATTCACAAAATGAGTTACATCACATTTCTAGTTCCTATCATGCTTTGCTTCTGACTTAAAGTCCCCGTGAACCGGAAGCTGCAAACGACTTTTCTCCAGTGTCGTGACGTATTTCCGAGAGAAACGGAATACTAAATGAGGCAAAATAGTGGATGTGGCTTTTTTTCAACTAGCACCTGATTGGATCTAGAAAAATGGGTGTTTCATTCTGAAATGGAGGATGACTCAAGTTTACACACGCTGTCAATCAATGCTCGCTCGGCGCTCGCAAACACAACAGCAGGTGTCAGTTGGAGGGGCGTGGTTATGGATGTTAAGGACACACCCAAACCGTAAAGCCTACGTCATCGGGCAAGGTCCTCCAATGCAGAGGGGAGGGGCATTTTCAAAATTTGATTAAAGATTACGAAGCCAAACAAAAATTTTGTGTGTGGATTGACTTGCATAGTATGAATTGTTCACCACAAAACGATCAATTTAGGCAAACAAAGTAAGTATGGTCAATTTTGATTTCATGGGGACTTTAAAGGAGAGTAAATGTTAAAATTAAGTGATATTTAATGTGCTCTGATTGGTCAGATGGCTCAGTCTGTTGTGATTGGACTACTCTGCTCTGATTGGTCAGATAGGCCTTATGTTGTGATTGGTCTACTCTGCTGTGATTGGTTAGATGGTCCCAATGCATTCTCATCCCAAGGCGTCATATACGACTCTTTTGCCAAAGCGTATACATCCAACGCACATGGCACCCTTTAGCGTCATATGAGACGCTTCGGTTATGGTAGGTTTAGGTCTGGGGTAGGGTTAGGGTTAGACCACTAGGAGGCGGCTTCTGGCCCATATATATCTGTGTCTCATATTGTCGCTAAAGTGTGTTGGATGTCTACGGATTGGCAAAACCGTCAGTATATGACGCCTTGGGATGAGAATGGGCTCATGGTCCAGTCTGTTGTGATTGGTCTACTCTGCTGTGATTGGTCAGATGGCCCAGTCTGTTGTGAATGGTCTACTCTGCTCTGATTGGTCAGATGGCCCAGTCTGTTGTGATTGGTCTACTCTGCTGTGATTGGTCAGATGGCCCAGTCTGTTGTGAATGGTCTACTCTGCTCTGATTGGTCAGATGGCCCAGTCTGTTATAATTGGTCTACTCTGCTCTGATTGGTCAGATGGCCCAGTCCGTTATAATTGGTCTACTCTGCTCTGATTGGTCAGATGGCCCAGTCTGATGTGATTGGTCTACTCTGCTCTGATTGGTCAGATGGCCCAGTCTGTTGTGAGTGGTCTACTCTGCTCTGATTGGTCAGATGGCCCAGTCTGTTATGATTGGTCTACTCTGCTCTGATTGGTCAGATGGCCCAGTGTGTTATGATTGGTTTACTCTGCTCTAATTGGTCAGATGGCCCAGTGTGTTATGATTGGTTTACTCTGCTCTGATTGGTCAGATGGCCCAGTCTGATGTGATTGGTCTACTCTGCTCTGATTGGTCAGATGGCCCAGTCTGTTGTGAGTGGTCTACTCTGCTCTGATTGGTCAGATGACCCAGTCTGTTATGATTGGTCTACTCTGCTCTGATTGGTCAGATGGCCCAGTGTGTTGTGATTGGTCTACTCTGCTCTGATTGGTCAGATGGCCCAGTGTGTTATGATTGGTTTACTCTGCTCTAATTGGTCAGATGGCCCAGTGTGTTATGATTGGTTTACTCTGCTCTAATTGGTCAGATGGCCCAGTGTGTTATGATTGGTTTACTCTGCTCTAATTGGTCAGATGGCCCAGTGTGTTGTGATTGGTCAACTCAGGTAGCCAATGAAGAATATAGGCTGACATTATTCAAAATATGTTACATACCTATGTAGGTTTTTGTAGGATGTGAGACTACTGAAACTACTGAAGGCTCATTTCAGGAGTTCAGAATAAATTGTTTCTCTTAGAATTAGACAATTACTCAATTTATAGTGCACGTTGATCTTTAAAGGGGAAATGAAGCAGTGAATCAAGTTTACATGATTTACAAGATGGATTTCCAATATAATCAACAATTATATAAGAACATTACAAATGTAAACATTTAGAAGAAAAAAAGAAAAAACTTTGCATCTTTCGCCGCCAGGGCGCCGCCATTGTGCAGGTGACGTCACGGGGTTGGTTGGCTCAAGTTTAACAGGCTCTGGGCATTGAAAATCGCGACATCAAACTGTGTTTACACCAGTGTTTTACCGCGAACGACTAATGTTAGGTACAGATATTAGACAAAAAGACGACGTCTCATGTTATATGTTGATAAACTGCACATAGAAACATTGTTCGCGATGTCTGCCGTCAGATATTCCTGTCTCGTCAACACCATGTAAGTTAGTATGTATTTGTTAAAGGGGAAATGAAACGTCCATATTTTCGCACTGGTAGTGCTAGTAACGTTAGCTACAGCCTACATATACTAGGAAAAAGTGTCTCCGCTCTGACATCCTTCAGGGAAAGCATCGCCACTTCCACACGTCTAACTCCCGGCACAGCATGGTAAACGTGCGCGCCGGTGATGCAGAATTGACCACGCAATACATGCTCAAGATCAACCTCTTGACAACAGATGGACTCTGACACAGAGGGCATCGCAGTACAACAGCCACACTGACACCTGGTAAGTTAGCGTTGCAAACCCGCTCTTCGCCCCAAACCACCACTGACTGTTCTACACAGCAACGTAACTTACATGGTGTTGACATCGCGAACAATGTTTCTATGTGCAGTTTGTCAACATATAACATGAGACTTCGTCTTTTTGTCTAATATCTGTACCTAACATTAGTCGTTCGCAGTAAAACACTGGTGTAAACACAGTTTGATGTCGCGATTTTCAATGCCCAGAGCCTGTTAAACTTGAGCCAACCAACCCCGTGACGTCACCTGCACAATGGCGGCGCCCTGGCGGCGAAAGATACAACGTTTTTTTCTTTTTTTATTCTAAATGTTTACATTTGTAATGTTTCTTATATAATTGTTGATTATATTGGAAATCCATCTTGTAAATCATGTAAACTTGATTCACCGCTTCATTTCCCCTTTAAAACTTTGCAGACCTTTTACATTTACAAACAGCTTTATTACACACTACAAGAAAGGTTACATCTGAAAAAGCACAACCCCATTACCTTTTCAAGAACCAGAACATGGACATTATCCATTTTGTCATACATTTATTTATACACATTATCCTTCACAAACTACAGAGGGACAGAATTCTGCAAAGAAAAACAATTAAGAGTGAAATAACCGTGTCAAACTAAAACACTGTCCTGGAAATTATCATTTAACACTAATAATAATAAATATGTTATATAATTCCCGGTAGAATCTATATTAAGAAGTGGCTGGGTGGAATGTTCATATGAGATACTTAACATGTGAATTCTGTAATGCCACCTCACATGCAGAAACCACATTAACTTTACATTCCCAAATACTCTCAATGTGAGACACTTGTGTTAACCTGCATCCTGCAAGACAACTACTTCAACACTTTCTCTATCGCTTCGCAAGAGGACCGGCTCTATTTCCACTCATAACATGAATTATTTTATGAAGAAATAAACACCTGGAGTATCTACTTGATCCTGTTTGGGGCTTGCACATCAAACATCAGGTCTATTCAAATGAAAAAATAGCTATATTCTGAAAAATGACGGATCACATGTGAGAGGAATCAGTGGTGAAATTCAACGGTTCCACCGAGGGCTTGGCACAAGACAAGAGCCCAAACCGAGCCATCTGATGTGTGAATACAGCATTTCTGAGGTACTGATTACAAGGAGAATCCAAAACTGATGTCTGATGTGTGCTCCCTGTTGACTTTTAGGTAAATCAGACTAAAGATAGACACATGGAAGTCTAATTCTTCATCCACCGACTGAAACTAAACAGGAAAGATAGTTAAGGTGGGACTGGCATCGTACTCGGTGTGGCAATCATCCCATGCTAGAGGACTCGTGCAACACGTTTCGCATGCGCCGATTTGCCGACACGCCACATGCACACAGCAGCTGCGGTTCAAACACACACATAGACCAGTCAGTCTACACACAGCTCCTACACGTATACTACCAGCATAGAAAACATAGCAGAGTTACATACAAAGGTTTGCAAACTAGTCTTTTTGGATCATCTAAACATAGAAACCATCTAAGGTAGTAAAAGCACATTCAGTTCTTATAGTATAAAATCTGCAGGATTTCCTATGCTTTCTCTGTATTTACAAAAATCATAGAATATAGTGTACCTTCAGTGTGACAGAGTGCTAAAAGTAAGCAAATATGTATGGTAATCATAAACTAAAAAGATACAAAATATCAGATAAATACCGTTCCGTTTGATAAGAATGTCATTTAACACGAAGAGTATTTATCACCAAAGGACATAAACACAACTAGAAAAAGGGTTATATTAGAGGTTATACATAACTGACCTCTCATCCCCCTCAAACATACGTCACAAAATCATGTTGCGCATAGATTGTAATGAATTAAATGGAAAAAAGAAGGAATTTTTGCATTGTGGCATTTGATTATCATTATTGTCATTATAGTTAAAAGCAGCACAAACAACAAACACTACCATGATTTGAACTTAACAAAATACAGTCATTTTTACAGTAAAAACCTTCATTTCGCATTTTGCCACAATACAGTAAGGAGAAAGAGTTTTGGTTATTTTGCATTTGGGGAAAATGAGCTTAAAGGGGCTATATGTAGAATTCAGAGACACCGTTGGCCGTTAAGGGAACTGCAGGATCAACTTACACTCGTTCACACGTAACGTACAAGAGACTCACTCAACGCCTCGATACACTCACTGCGAAGTTCTTTGCTTAGAAGTAGAAATAAGTTTAAATACCTTTACAGTAATATACTGTTAACGAACATACAGTACGTCCAATATGTAAATAGTAATTAAATAAACAGAGAAAACAGATTTCAGAAAGCATCTGATCATAACTATGAGGATATGTCTGGCAATGTGAGACTATAGTTTGAATGAATTCCTTTTCTTTGCATGACACATTGATATTACAGAACAGAATCACTCGTTGACATTATCCTGAACATTGTATAAGCATTCATTTCATGCGTCATAGAACGGAAATAGTCCTTCACATAGAAATCAGTCTACAGACTTTCATGGAAGTCGGGGAAGGTCTCGTTTTTTAAGTTTCACCACAAGCTGTTTACACAGTCTAGAAAAAAAAAACGGATTAATACATGTAAATTCGTACATATAGCCCCGCTGTAAATGTCACAATGCAAAAAAAAAAATAAAATAAATAAAATTAATGGTTTTAAAAGACAGGCTTCATTTTCTTTAAGCAAAATCTACAGTAAGCTTTTATATGGTCTCGTTACATGTTCTTTATGTTGTAGTAGTGCTAGTTTTCTTTAGCATAATAGGCTAGATTTAAAGGATTAGTTCACTTTTGAAAAAACTTTTGCTGATAATTTACTCACCCCCATGTCATCCAAGATGTCCATGTCTTTCTTTCCTCAGTCGAAAAGAAATTTAGGTTTTTGATGAAAACATTCCAGGATTTTTCTCCATATAATGGACTTCAATGGGAACCGGACGGTTCAAGGTCCAAACGACAGTTAATAACTGTTTCAGATGCAGCTTCAAATGTCTTTAAACGACACCAGACGATGAATAAGGGTCTTATCATGCGAAACGATCGGTTATTTCAAAGCTTATTCCAAAAATTTAACTTTTCTAAGGACAAATGCTAGCCTTGCTCTATTCTGTGAGGCACGTTTGTAACGTCACGTAATACGTAATTACGTTCAAAAGGTCACGGGCGACGTAGCCGGAAGTACAGAGTCAGTGTTTACAAGTTGAACGCATAGGTTGAACGTGCAAACTAACTCAAACGCCGTTTACAAAAAAGGAATTAAAAGGTAAAACAACGATGTCGGACGATTTTGATTCTGTACTTTCGGCTACGTCGCCCGTGACCTTTTGAACGTAATAACGTATAAACGCACCTCACAGAATAGACCAAGGCTAGCATTTGTCCTTAGAAAAGTTACATTTTTGGAATAAGTTTTGAAATAACCGATCGTTTCGCATGATAAGACCCTAATTCATCGTCTGGTGTCGTTTAAAGACATTTGAAGCTGCATCTGAAACAGTTATTAACTGTCGTTTGGACCTTGAACCGTCCGGTTCCCATTGAAGTCCATTATATGGAGAAAAATCCTGGAATGTTTTAATCAAAAACCTAAATTTCTTTTCGACTGAGGAAAGAAAGACATGGACATCTTGGATGACATGGGGGTGAGTAAATTAACAGTTTTTTCAAAAGTGAACTAATCCTTTAAACCAAGTTCGCAATATGGGCTCAAACATCGTAAAGTATGATAAATTAAGCATTTAATAAAAATAAACATGCAAGCGGGTGCATGGGTCTGTGTATTACCAATCACTCATTTAGAGCAAGAGAAAAAGTTCTGTATAGGTTGACTAAGTAGGAACCAGGCGAGCAGGCAGTGACGGGATTGGAAGTTGTCATGCTAAAACTCGAAGAGCGATAAGGGTTCAAGTTTCAGCCCAAGATAAGGGACACCACCATCTAGTAGGAAATCAATATGCATATATATATAGAGAGAGCTGGATATAAAAACCTTTTTGATGCAGTAATATTTTGGCACTCCTATAACAAGATTTAGATTTACAAATATATAATTCAAGAACATTAGAAATGGCAGTAGAGCACACCAGGAATAGGACACAAAAACCTGTTTCATGTCAGCATGCTTCACACACAATTATCTGAGGACTGGAAAAGGGGATCGCTCACTATCTCCACCATTTAAAACATCTGTGGGTTTTGTAAAACATCATTTCTATCTGCATCCAAGCATCAGATAAATTGTCATTACTACCCCAGAGAGAAACACATTGTTGGCCCAGATTCGGGCTATATCTGGTGCTTGTGGATTCAACCACTGGATCTGCCAGATGTGGGCCGGATCTGGGCCAACAATATGTTGACGTCTGGGACAGTATGAGGGCAAACATTATCGTTCTGTTTAAAAGCCTAGAGAGCTGCCTTTCTGTCTAAAATAATAATTGTCAGTCTACACTCTTAAAGGGTTAGTTCACCCAAAAATGAAAATTAAGTCATTAATTACTCACCCCCATGCTGTACCAACCCCGTAAGACCTTCGTTCGTCTTCGGAACACAAATGAAGATATTTTTGATTAAATTTGAGAGCTGTATAACTACCACATTGGCTCCTAAGGGACTGCCTCTTGACGGCCCAGAAAGTCAATGAAGAAAAAATACTTTTTGTGCGAAAAAACAAACAAAAATAACGAGTTTATTCGACTATTTATTTTCTTCCTTGTAGGCCAGAACGAGACTTCCTTAGATTTCCACGACGCATGCGCGAGATTTGCGATCTGCTCACACCAGCTTACACTACTTCAGATCGCAAATCTCGCGCATGCGTCGTGGAAATCTAAGGAAGTCTCGGAAGTCTAAGGAACATTTTCTTCATTGACTTTCTGGGCCGTCAAGAGGCAGTCCCTTAGGAGCCAATGTGGTAGTTATACAGCTCTCAAATTTAATCAAAAATATCTTCATTTGTGTTCCGAAGACGAACAAAGGTCTTACGGGGTTGGTACAGCATGGGGGTGAGTAATTAATGACTTAATTTTCATTTTTGGGTGAACTAACCCTTTAATAACAAAAGTTCAAAATGTGGTTTTCTCCAGTGAAGAGCCATTTTTTTGGTTGAAAAGGACTTACAATAACTTTTTGTTCCTTGGAACATTTAAAAAAAATATGAAGAGACTTTAGTGTAATGGAAAGGTCCAATGGATGTTGCCAAACAAAAAAAATGCTCAGCAGGCTTTGGAACAGATCATAAATCATCTCCATTATATATTACCCTCAAAGTCTCCACTTCTCCAGTCCCCCCTCAGTTCAGATATGTTCAGATAAAGGGTATTCAACTGTCTACAAAGTTTGGATGAGTTCATTGATAACATGGATGCAGTTGTTAGTTTTAGCCTCTTCTTCATCGTCTCATACCACGCTGTGAAGCGACGATGGGTGGATGAACTCTGGGTTTATGAAAGAGAATCCAGCAAATTCGCTCTGGTCGATGTTGGCGATGACCAGTTGGTCTGGAGGGGTCAGCATGGGCTGCGTGCGGGTGAAGAATTTGTCGAAGTTCTCCGCTGCTTTGCCGCTCTGTGAAAGAAAGATCTATTATTAGATTCAATTGAAAAGCTGGCAGTGTGCATGAGAGAAAATTCAGCATGTACACTTATATGTCCAGCAAAAGAAGGGCTTTATAAAAAGCGATTGTTCATATTCAGGGTTGAAATGACGTACCAATAGGGTCCTTTGAGGGGGCTCTTTTAACCCCAGGGCTCTGCAAACACTCATGGGTGGCCACAGTATGAGATGAATCAAATTATACCCGTTAAAAACTTCAACGCACATACAGTTTATACACAGGGAGGGAGGATCGGCACACAGGGTGGGTGGTTTTGATGCAAACACATGAAACGACTCTTAAAATAGTCCAGGCCTTTATCATGTGGGCTCCGCTATTGAGTAAGGTTGGGGATCGTTTGAATTATGGCGATTCCAATTTCTATTCTGAATGAGCAAAACTCTACATGCTAAAGAACGCTTACAACTAAACACTCAAGAAGACTTAATAAATAAATACAACAAAACATACAATGTTCAAATATGAGTGTTAAATTAACACTGAAGAACGTTAAAGTTAATGATCTAATTTAGTGATTAATTGAATGATGATTGGCCATCATTGAAGTCATGGCAGAATCTCGACATCATTATGGTGATCATTTTTTGCTTTAGTTGGCCTCTTGACCCTTAAACTATTAACATGATGATCAGGTGGTGTTGGTTATGGTTTGACTTAATCATCGTTTGACCAGAATCACAAAACTCATTTAGAGCGTTAGGTTTACTTTGTTGATTCTACTTGTTAACATCAGGTGTCTTTAATGTTGGTCAATCATCACTCAAATAATCACTTAATTATCTCATTAACTTTAACTCTTCTTCAGTGTTAATTTAACACTCTTGAGTGTGGAGTCATAAACTCCCAAGAGAGTTAATTTAACATTGGAGTTTTTGCAGTGTACAAGTGTTATAAGATTTTAAAGGGTTAGTTCACCCAAAAATGAAAATGAAGTCATTAATTACTCACCCCCATGCTGTACCAACCCCGTAAGACCTTCGTTCGTCTTCGGAACACAAATGAAGATATTTTTGATTAAATCTGAGAGCTGTATAACTACCACATAGACTTCCGGGACTGGCTCTTGACGGCCCAGAAAGTCAATGAAGAAAATGTTTAAATATTCCATGTGACTACAGTGGCTCAACTATAAGTTTATCAAGCGACGAGAATACTTTTTGTGCGAAAAAACAAACAAAAATAACGTTTTTATTCGACTATTCCTTTTCTTCCTTGTTGGCCTGAAACGAGACTTCCTTAGATTTCCACGACGCATGCGCGAGAATTGCGATCTCCTTACACTACTTCAGTTCAATTCTCGCGCATGCGTCGTGGAAATCTAAGGAAGTCTCGTTTCAGGCCAACAAGGAAGAAAAGGAATAGTCGAATAAAAATGTTATTTTTGTTTGTTTTTTCGCACAAAAAGTATTCTCGTCGCTTGATAAACTTATAGTTGAGCCGCTGTAGTCACATGGAATATTTAAACATTTTCTTCATTGACTTTCTGGGCCGTCAAGAGCCAGTCCCGGAAGTCTATGTGGTAGTTATACAGCTCTCAGATTTAATCAAAAATATCTTCATTTGTGTTCCGAAGACGAACGAAGGTCTTACGGGGTTGGTACAGCATGGGGGTGAGTAATTAATGACTTAATTTTCATTTTTGGGTGAACTAACCCTTTAAGATGTTCAGGAACAGAAACGGTAATCAAATGTTACATAACACAACAACTTATAAATAAAATATACATTACAAATAGAAAAGTTATACAGTCAAGAACCGCTTGAATAGTGTAAAATCAGATTTAAATGCACAAAAAGGAATTGATAATAGGAATTGAAATGTTTTATTTTATAACAAGTATCCTATGACCTTATGGATCTGATTCCAGAATTGGAATTGATATTTGATTCTCAATCCCACTTAAGCTAAGTTGACTTAGAACCGAATGTAGCAAAATGTGTGTCTGCAAGTCAGATGTGAGTTGTGAGATGTGACCACTCTCTTTGGTCTCGGTCTCGACTCTCTTTGGTCTCGGTCTCGACTCTCTTTGGTCTCAGTCTCCACTCGGACTCGACTCTCTTTGGTCTTGGTCTCGACTCGGACTCGACTCTCTTTGGTCTCGGCCTCCACTCGGACTCGACTCTCTTTGGTCTTGGTCTCGACTCGGACTCAACTCTCTTTGGTCTCTCTTTGGTCTCGGTCTCCACTCGGACTCGACCCTCTTTGGTCTTGGTCTCGACTCGGACTCGACTCTCTTTGGTCTCGGTCTCGACTCTCTTTGGTCTCGGTCTCGACTCTCTTTGGTCTCGGTCTCGACTCGGACTCAACTCTCTTTGGTCTTGGTCTCGACTCAGACTCGACTCTCTTTGGTCTTGGTCTCAACTCTGACTCGACTCTCTTTGGTCTTGGACTCGACTCTGGTCTCGGATTCGACTCTCTTTGGTCTCGGTCTCGACTCAGACATGACTCTATGGTCTCGGTCTCGACTCGGACTGGACTCTCTTTGGTCTCGGTCTCGACTCGGACTGGACTCTCTATGGTCTCGGTCTCGACTCGGACTCAACTCTCTTTGGTCTCGGTCTCCACTCGGACTCGACTCTCTTTGGTCTCGGTCTCGACTCGGACTCGACTCTCTTTGGTCTCGGTCTCGACTCTGACTCGACTCTCTTTGGTCTTGGTCTCGACTCGGACTTGACTCTCTTTGGTCTCTCTTTGGTCTCGGTCTCGACTCGGACTCGACTCTCTTTGGTCTCTGCCTTGACTCTGACTCGACTCTCTTTGGTCTCGACTCAGACTCGACTCTCTATGGTCTCGGTCTCGACTCGGACTCAACTCTCTTTGGTCTCGGTCTCCACTCGGACTCGACTCTCTTTGGTCTCGGTCTCGACTCTGACTCGACTCTCTTTGGTCTCTCTTTGGTCTCGGTCTCGACTCGGATTCGACTCTCTTTGGTCTCTGCCTTGACTCGGACTCGACTCTCTTTGGTCTCGACTCGGACTCGACTCTCTTTGGCCTTGGTCTCGACTCAGACTCGACTCTCTTTGGTCTCTGCCTCGACTCGGACTCGACTCTCTTTGGTTTCAGTCTCGACTCGAACTCAACTCTCTTTGGTCTCGACTCGGATTCGACTCTCTTTGGTCTCGGTCTCGACTCTCTTTGGACTCGGTCTCGACTCGGACTCGACCCTCTATGGTCTCGGCCTCGACTCAAACTCGAGCGAGCTGGTCTCGACTACAAGACTGCTAACAGTCAACAAAATGTGTTAAAAGGATCATCAAAATAAAGACCCTGTGTATATTTGTAATACAGGTGATCAGTGCACACTATTCTAAAGGGAAAAATGTTTATCTTCAATCCATAATACACCAGATCTAAAATGACTTTCTCTTTTAGCTGACATCACAGAAACGTTTTTTTTTAACCCGACGACTCAATCCACCTGCCATATTTGCCAATTATACAACCAATAATTCCTGATGGATCAGATCAAGTCTCACTTTAATGTAAAGTAAAACGGGGCTGAACACGTTTCATCATATTGACTTTGAGGACAGACTGATCTTGCGTCAGTGACCTCATTGGCTGGTCAAGACTATATACAGTACATTGAGCTGTAACAGTGTGAGCTCTCAACCCCCCATTGTTTCATTTGGCAGTTCACCAACGCTTTCCTTTGCCAATTGTTAACTTCTTGTCAGGCACTGAACAAGTGAAAGAAAGAAAATGATTCATTCATCTCAATGATCTGCCAGACTCACAGTGTGAAAGTGTAGGTCCCAGCATGCTTTGCATGGTATTTAATAGCCAGAGTAAAATGTTGAAAAAAAGTAAAGTTGAACTTTTTCAGTTTTTTGTGCAAGATGAGAAAAGAGAGATACGTGTGTTTGTGTAGTGTTTAATGTACAGTTATGTTGAGGAACTGTTTCGATTACACTGGGCTACCGTTGAGGTGAAAAGTGGAGCTTTTGCTTGGTATGAGAAAGGGTACATTTAGAGTTACCGTCAAATTTCTGACAGTAACATATCAAAAACAGTGATATATTGTAGAAAACAATGCATTGTGGGTAATGTTTGAGGTTTTTGGGAAAATAGCCCTGTTAAAAACCCCAAATAGAACTGTTGTGACCATTAATCGTCTCTTGATCATGGATCATATAAGGCTGAGACTATGACACGTCATACTATTATCAAAGAACCGGAGTTATGCAACTGAATCATATGCGGTGTTGTCTACTGTGACCTGAGAAAGTGAGCTGTCATCCAACAGCAGCCTTGGCAAAGGTGACAGACATCATATTCACACATCATGTTCACACTCACCACTTTGGGTTTGAAAACAGGCTGTATCTCTCTGTTGGCCAGCCGCTCCCAGTCAATTCTGCGGAAGAACGCTTGCTCCTTTATATCCCTCTCCCCCTCCGGACCGCAACCGAGACGCTTCGATGGATGCTTCGTCATCAGCTGTGTGTGAGTATGTGGACGAGAAGACAGATTATTAAACCTGAGACCATCTACCTTAGAATCAAGAATGAAAGAGAAAAATAGGAAGGATAAATCTAAAGAGTCAAATCAAGTCACCAAAACATTCCAAGATTTTTCAATGGACTTCAATGGGAACCAAACGGTTCAAGGTCCAAAAGAGAGTTTCAGTGCAAACTGTTCAAAGGGCTTTAAACGATTCCAGACGATGAATAAGGGTCTTATCAAGCGAAACGGTCGCTCATTTAAAGGCGAGCATTTGAGCTTATAAAACTAAAACTTTGTTATTTATTTTTTATATGAGCGATCGTTTCGCTTGATAAGACCCTTATTCATCGTCTGGAATCGTTTAAAGACATTTGAACAGTTTGCACTGAAACTCTCTTTTGGACCTTGAACCGTTTGGTTCCCATTGAAGTCCATTATATGGAGAAAAATGCTGGAATGTTTTCATCAAAAACCTTAATTTCTTTTCAACTGAAGAAAGAAAGACATGGACATCTTGGATGGCATGGGGGTGAGTAAATTATCAGAAAAAGTTTTTTTTAAAGTGAACTAATCCTTTAACTAACATGACCCCACTCTAACTGAACACTTTTTGTGTTTAATGAAACCTGAAGCAAGTTCTTCTGGGCTGAGGTTGGGAATCAGACCTCTATAAAATACACTAGTACAATACAAACATTTTCCAATTTGGTTGAGCGAAATGTAAACTGAAATTACTTAAATAAAACAAAACATTTTCCTATTGTTCCTAACTAACTAACTAACTAACTAACTAACTAACTAACTAACTAACATTACTGTTTTTTTTAAATCATTTTCATTTATAATCATTAAAAAAAAATAACAATGTGACCAAAAGATCAAATACACATCATTTAAAGTTTAATGATATATGAAACTATTCTACATTTACAAATGATCCACATTACAATCATGATCTTAGGGGCCATTATCATGAAGTGTCATCACTGCCTTTACTCACTTTTATATTGCCACCATGAATCATATTCATCTTATTGGCAACATAATCAAGCAGAATGGAAATGAAATCATCCACTCAGCTATTATAGCGGCAGATATTTCCATGACTTGAGCTGACAGCAATATTAAAGTACGCCAGTTATTAATCCAAGCTGGGAATTTAATTCCACAAAAGCTTCTGCATTATTCTTTTCTAATATATATACATATACAGATGGCATCTCATGCATATAGAAATGTGTAGAAATACAGGACTGACCCCTTTACAGATGGACACAGCCTCTTTGGACATGGATTTGGGGTAGGACACATTGTGCTCCATTATGGACTGAAACAGCTCGTCCTCATCCTCGCCATCGAAGGGGGGCTGTTAGAAAACGCAGTGTGATTACATTTCCATGTATGTTCTAGGATAAAAACATATCAACCAAATAATAAACAAGTGCAGACAGTGTTTTCTTGTTCAGATCAACCGGTTAGAACTCACATGTGCTCCTTTTAGTCTTCAGTAACATTAATATCTTTTAATATGGCAACAGTCTAAGATTACAGATTAGTCATAATTACAGTACAGGTGAAATTCGAAAAATGAGAATATCGTGCAAAAGTTCCTTTATTTCAGTGATTCAACTTAAAAAAAATGAACCTAATATATTATATAGACTCATTACATGCAAAGTGAGATATTTCAAGCCTTTATTTGATATAATGTTGATGACTATGGCTTACAGCTTATGAAAACCCTAAATTCGTGAGCTATAAGCCATAACCATCAACATTATAGCAAATAAAGGCTTGAAATATCTCACTTTACATGTAATGAGTCTATATAATATATTAGTTTCACCTTGAATTACTGAAATAAATGAAATTTTGCACAATATTCTCATTTTTTGAGTTAATCAGAGATTCAACAAACTCATAAATGACGAATATTTATTTATGAACTTGAGATTGAGATCCTTTGCATGTACACTAATACGCTGATAACTACCAAAAATCAGTTTATTGAAATAACCAGATTTGCCGGTTTACAAGCAAATCAATAACCCGGCAATGCAAGTAACAGGCTATTGTCATAACCGAAGTATTTCACTCTGTTTATTAAGTGAGTTTTGATGTGAAATAAAGCACTTAAGTAAAAAGTTTCCACAACTGTACTCTGGCTGCACTAATAAGAACACATTTTTTAATATTTCTTGGGTCAAGACAAAGTGGCAGTTTGCAATGTATTACCGCAAACTCTTGTTGTGTCTGGATGTGCTTAAATCTGCCGTAAAAGGATGCTTTGCTGTCACATATCACACAATGCGCACTTCAATAATGAATCAATAATTGCTGTATCGATCGCTCTATTCCTAAGCTGTTCATGATCTTACGGCGGTAACGGAAATGGTTTACCGCTTTCCACACGTTAGTTTATTAAGCATAATCGGGGGAAGAATGTGCAAGTAAACGCATTCATTGATGCTGTGGTACAAGACCTCCTCGTGCTCACGGATCATTGGCGCACACACACAACTCAATGCAATCGTTTCTGAAGAGGACCAATGCACAGTTATGATTCCCGAGTCATTCTACAGTCATTTCTTGTTGTATCCTCACAGCAGTGGGTTGATCTATTACATTATAAGACAAAACCATCTAAAGTGAAACACAAGATTCTTCTGTTGGGTAATTGGACCCGGGAGTCAATGAGAGAAAGAGGAGATGTGGACGATGTAACCGTGGTAACCGTTCTGGAAGGCCTGGGAAGCGCTCTGTGTTAATGAATCTCACTGAGATAAACAGAGAATATGCCAGAAGAGACACATAAAGCAGTTTATATAACAGAGCGAATTGTACGGGCGCAAATTAAGCGTCTTTGTGAAGGAAATCCTTACTGCAATTACAAACTTTTCTGTGGAATCTCATGAGAATTTGTGTTTTTTTATGTAAAGTGGGTTCTACCACACACACACACACACACACACTTTACCTTGTGTTTGCATTCACAATATAATTAATATTGATCTATGACAGGATCTTAAACCAGAATTATTTACGTATGTACATTTATCTTACTGTACATATAAACAACGAGATCAGGCTGCACTGTAAAACCTAACAGTAATATTTACTCAATTAAATTGAGTTCACTGCACTCAAATAATACTGAAACTTGAGAGTGACTGAAACAGAACTCAAACTGAATGAGTTATAGAACATTTCTAGATCCCAGAATGATAAATGAATAATAATTGTATGGTTAAGTTAATTAATCATCAATTAAGAGTTGATTGATCATTAGTGATGAACACCTGCTATTAACAAGCAGAATCACTGAAGGAAAGAGAAACACAAGGTTTAAGGTCACCATGATGGAGATCAGCAATTATTAGTTAATGACTTGATTCACTGATCTCATTCAGAATCTATTTTCTGATTATATTAGTTGCAATTGAAAATAGATTCTACAACATAAGAACGAACAATGTTATGACTGTCAGATAGTATGAAGAATTGTACAAAAAGTGTAATTCACGAACAAAACTAACACAGATACCAAGAATCAGCATATGAATCTCAACAATGGTGACCATTAAAAAACGCATTGCATTATGAATCGTTTTTTAATAGTCACCATTGTTGAGATTCATATACTGATTCTTGATGTCTTTGTAAGTCAGCATGATACCATGGAGGTTTTTTAAAATCTGATTGAAACAATAATGGGCCTTTCAGCAGAATCACAGTTCTTTTATAATGAATAATACAAGTTATATATCACCTGTTTAATCAGAGTTTATTCTCTGGAAAAGATCAGAGAATCAAGACATCATCATTCCATAAATCATCATCAAAACAAAAAATTCTCTTGGCTTTAATGCCATAACAAATGTGTCATAGAAACACTCAGTTACAGCAGCCAGAGGAAAACCTGGTGTTATAAAGTCTACACTTAGTTATAAACTAAAGCAAACACTGACCACTATTATGGTGTCTTTAAATGAAACTCAATAAATCATCTTCCTTTAAACCTCTGTTCATTCCCAATAACAACTTCTGTAGACGCATGATAAAACTCAAATTGGTTAGTAATAAGTGAAGTTGGTAATGCTGTTTGTGTAGTTGTTCAATCCTCCTCTGCTGAGATCTTGAGAGATTTAAACATATTTTATCTTCATCTTATGTTGTGGTTGGAAGTCAGTTCTCAGTTGTAGTTTTTGTGTTTCTCTTTCCTTCAGTGATGTTAACAGCATCATTAATGCTCAACAAACCCTTAATACATCCCTTAATTTCTTGACTGCAATATCTACTTTTAGTGAACTCAACTGAAATAATTTCAGAGTACTCATAACTGTTGTTTTTTATAAACTTAAATGAATTGAGGCAATCGGTTTCTTCAAATAAAATGAGTTAGCTGAACTAATTGGATTTGACTCTGTGTGATATTGTGAGCTAGCAGTAGCAAGTGCTCTGAGTTCATTTAAAGTTTGTCATTTCACTGTTTTTACTCAATAAAGTGAAGTTTCAGCTATATTGAATGCAGTGTAAAGTTTAATTGTGTTTTAAGAAATATTATTGTTTTAGTGAACTTGAATAAAATAAGTTCAGAGTACTCATAACTATTGTTTTTGTAAACTTAAACGAATTGAGGTCATCGGTTTACGAGTTATGCAACATGAAAATGCAGTTCCTGTTCCATCAGAAGCACTTTGCGCAAACCAGAGTCTGGATTGTTTCTCTGTTGCTCGGAGACCGTGTGTTTATCCGCGGCGATGTCTGATCACAGCAGGACTGCAATCACAAGCACTCAGACAAGACTAAACGATTGGCGAGAACAAGCCTCCGTACCTGCCCAGCCAGCATCTCGTAGAGGAGCACGCCGTACGCCCACCAGTCCACAGACTTACCGTACGGCTGATAGGCGATTATCTGCGGAGGAGAGGAAATAAACGGTTCAGTCATTCATTCAGCTCTCAAACACTATTCAATCTCCATTCATTTGTCAAGAGCACAAGGCATGTTTTACCACTGCTCAAGCCGCTATTTTTGATCATTCGCTGTATAATAATGGCTTTTTTTCCCTTCACCAGTTCATTTCCACCCACATATTCAGCACACACACTAATGAGTGTGTATAATCACAGGGGAAGTTAATGAGGGCTTTGTTAAGCAGAAAGACTCTATGTTTCATGTCACACTCGTCCTCTTCATGTGTGCTTTGGAAATGACTGCGTAGTTGTGTCGCTTTCCACAAATAGAGAACAAATTGGCGCCCTGTTACTTTTTTAAAAGCAATAACGTCACTTATGCCATATTCTTTAGAGAGGTGATACATACAGTTAGCATTGCATGAACAGTATCTAGTTTAAAGTGCACTAAATGTCTGTCACACCCTTTCATAAAACAATTATTTGAATATATAAATTGAAAGAATTATATATTTCTAGTCTAAGTCTTGAGCTATTTTCGTCACCACAGTTTACCAAAAGTATTATTTATTAATTTGGCAGTGTCCTGTGTGTGTTTTTTTCATTTAATTTCTCCGTTTATAAATAAAATATTTATAAATATTGATATTATTATATTTTCTAATAGAGTGTATGCATCAAGCACAATCATTCAACCCTGAGAAAAATGTCTAAATAGTATATTTTTCTTTTACTTAGTAGTCAATAATTTTATCCACTAAAACTCATCTTTGATCACCAAAAATTACATATATTTCCTTGAAAATAAATTCTTTATGACTTAAAATATCTTGAATGTAACTCGACACCCTTGCCTCACTTAGTAAGCGTGGTCTTATGAATATGCAAATGAGCCCCGCCTCCATTCACTCACTCACTCAGAGATTCACTGGTTGACAATCACACGTTGATCTGATTGGTTACAGAAAGATCTTGAGTGTTTGATACACTGGTTAGGTCACACTGCTTAAATTTCCTCATACACAACACACAGATGAACACATACACTCACACTAATAAAACAGATGTTGTTCCACACATGAATTTTTATGATACAGGCTCTGTATAATAATACTCATTTTGTAAAATGGCCTAATTTCTGTTAGGGCCTGTCTAAATACAAAAGCGATATGGAGTCAAACAGTTTACTGATTAAATGAGAAGAGTGAATAAATGGCTTCAGGATTGATAGTGACTACAGTAAACAAGAGTCCTCGTTTGGTTCCCTTATTTTTGTGCGCACATGACCAGGATGTAATCTGTCCCATCCAATTTATGGAGACGTCTATTTAGTCTAAAAATAACCCAGACAGCCACATAGTGTCGACCCAGATCCGGCAAGCGTTGAATCCACATGTACCGGATGTGGGCCGCATCTGGGCCGACACTCTCTGGGTTGTTTCATTATTTTTTCATATGACAATATGTCATATGTTCCGACATATTGAGCTGTGGTTGCCATGCCAGCGACTTTAGATCCGCCTCATGTAATTTCCCGCTCTTTTTCCACATCATCTCTCGACCGTGCAGCTGAGTGTCGATGTCGATAACGTCTTCTCCAGCTCCTGCTCCCAAGAGCAAATTTACACTATTGATCTACAATTGTTTTTAGAACAGAAGCGTCAATATATCTGATTGTTTCTTCATTATCATTTGTCGAAAGTCAGCATGTCCAATAAAGTTGTGTGACAACACAATGAGCACAAAGAATAGAAAGTACGGTAACACTTTACTAGAAGGAGGTTTAATTCATGTTTATGACAACATTCGCTAATGCAAATATGACATTGTTTGAGATGTCTTTGTTATGACACCTTGACATAAACCAACACATCATAACCTGTCAGAGTCTTTGTCATGACAACTTGACATTACTAAGACCATAGATATGTATATAAAGGCTAGATGTGTTACGGCGGAGTTTCCATCGTCATCACCGGCGGCCATCTTGTCACAGACAAGCTGATGTAAGATGAGTGATCGAACACAAATACTCTTATCTCGTTGAAATCTTGACGGATTTACAAACGGTTTGGTTTCTTACAAACGTTATTAACGTGGCTATAATTCTGGATGATTATTTATTTCTACACTTATTATAAGTATACAGTGTGATAACTACATCTCTGACGTTTATAACAAAACAAACCGTTTGAAAATCGGTAGAAAATTGAGCAAGTTATGGTCATTTAAATAGTACATGTACCATTAACACAATGTTACGAGTGAGCGAGCTGCCTGTGACAAGATGGCCGCCAGGTGCAGACGTCGACCTCCATTGGCCAGCAGCGTGGACTACATATCTAGCCTTTATATAGATATCTATGACTAAGACAACACAACCTGTCATAAACATGACATAGCAGATTAATTATTAAACTTAAAAAAGCACTTAGCTTTATGGGTTAACATTACATTAAACTGTCATGTGGTTGGCTTTGACATTGGCTGTCATGACGTGACAGAAACCATCTTTGGAAAAACGATATTGTTTACGGTCTCACATGCCGTTGAATAACACGGGAAGGCGGGGTTTATGACCTATACTAGGACCGGCCACCAGGGGGCGATCAAGACGTTTTGGCTGTCATGACGTGACAGAAACATTTTTGGAAAAACGATATTGAATAACACGGGAAGGCGGGGTTTATGACCTATACTAGGACGTTTACTAGGACTAGGACTAAGACGTTTTGGCTTCACTTTTGAGGGCTTGTGAGGCACGCTTGGAGTGAACGGGCATTTACCATCCCAGATAGCAACATAGTGTCGGTCCAGATCTCGTACGCATTGAATCCACATGTACCGGATGTGAGCCAGATCTGGGCCGACACTATGTTTCTGTCTGGGACATGACATCATCATTGTACCTCATTACTTTTTTTAAAGGTTTTTCCCCCAAAAGCCACTTTTGAAGTCTTAGAAGGGCCAAAAAAAAAAAAAAAAAAAAAAAAAACACGTCATTGTGTTTCTAAAAATACAATCCCATAAAGGCTGTGTGTGTGATTGGCTGCGGGTCTCTGAATATAAAGAGAGATGAATGAACGAGTGTGTCAGGACACAGACGTGTTGAGGTTTCTAATGGAGACGGTCCACTCACAGAAAACGCTCACACACCCTTGGCATTATTCTACATCTGTATTATTGCATTTCATCTATAGAGCTTCTCCTCATGCGCCCTGAATATAAATGTGTGAGTTCACTTTATAGTAGCTCATTTATATTTGGACCGATTCAGAAATACAGAGTGCACATGTGCGGTGCCATGATGTGTGTTTGTTTAAATGATTATCAGGGTCACTGATCAGACATGAGGAAATCAATAAGTGAAGCAGAGAGTTCATGACACACGAGCTAAAGACATGTGAATGAACACAGAGAAATCTGCAGCTGTTTGCAATATAAAGATATTTGCTCAAATCACACACACACACACACACACACACACTGAGAATCAAACGGCCCCGTTTATTTCAAAAGCTTCCACTGAGATTTAAGGATCCTGTCAGAAATACATCATGTTTATGTTTGCTTTCTCTCTTCCCACATAAAATATGTTTTTCACACTGTGCGTCTCCTTTGTGCCATGACGCTGGAAGAGAGCATGATTTTCCTGCTATCCACAGTGCTCAAACCACACACACACACACACACACACACTCTGTATGTACATAATGGTTTTATACAGTAAAAACAGTATATTCTCTCCCCAAACACTAACACGACCCCTAAACCTGCCCATCACACACACACACACACACACACACACAACAATGTCAACAGTGGAAATGTCACAGAGCTAATCTCTATGTCAATATCACTGTTGGCTTTTGCAGAAGAGAGCAATTTAAAATGTGGCTATTAGTGAATGATGTGGCCATGTACCTAACACACACACACACACACGCATACACACACACACACACACACACACACACATTTTAGATTTAGCAACAAAAAGATGCAAGATTACCTAAATAACCAATGTTTTCAGTTGTTACTGATTAAATATGTCGTCAATCTGTTTAAATATGATTTTTTTTAGGGGTGTAACAATACCCTCATGTCACGATTCAATACATATCACGATACTGAACTCGGTATGATGATAAAAGATTAACAAAAATGTTGATTTTTTATTAAAATACTGTTGATTAAAATTCTAAATTTGGTGTAACGTTGTGTATGTGAATGAATAGTCTTGGACTTGGTGCTGAAACCCAAAGCACAGGACAATAGAGACACCAGAATACACATATTTATGATTCTGAAGCTGAAAACACAGGATTATTTTAGATGAATATGCTTGTGCTCTTTCATAATGTAGGACACTTTTTACTGGTAACATCTGGGATTATCAAGACCCACAAATATTGCATTATTATACATTATATTCAACATTTATATAGTAGTTTAATGTAGTGCTGACACTAAAACTCTTAAACTTGAATTTCAAGTTTCAAAAACTAAAGCAAACACTGATCTCCATAATGGTGACTTCAAATTACGGGTTTCTCTTTCAGTGATTCTGCTTGTTAACATCAGGTGTCTTCAATAATGCTCAATCATCACTAAATTATTTACTTAATTGTCTCATTAACTTTAACACTGCTTCAGTGTTCATTTAACACTCTGCTCAGAGTTTAAATGGGTCGCTTAAATTGACTTAATTCCATTTTAACAAATTATTTTTGTTAAACGCAACCCAGTTATGTGAAACCAGTTGACATGAAAACGTTACGTCAGAAGTGACGGAGATTGGGGGTTTCGCATAGAAAGCCAATCCTCTTCGAGTATTTAAAAACGAGCCAATGGCATGCAATGCCTTGGGGCTGCGGAAATTTGCATAGCGTACTCCGCCCTACTCCGTGAGTATAAAAGGAGGAAGTGAACGCAACCGCAGTATGTCTTCGCTGAGGAGCCAAGACTGAACTCGGCGTCTACCCAGCGATACAGCAGAAG